ATTTTGAATATTTATTCATGTGTTTATCATCTGAATGTCTTCTTTGATATGATAGGATACTTAGAAAATGTTAAAGATTTGGTAAGAAAGCTATTGGACATAGCTGACCAATTCAACAAAGTAGCAGAATACAGGATCAACATTTTTTAAAAGTCAGAATTTTTCTACAGTGAAAAGAAGAGAATATAGAAATAGAGCTATGAAAAGCAGTATCAATTGTAATAGCTAATCACAAGATAAAATACTTGGGAATAAATATAATTAGAGACACAAATGACCTATACAAAGTAAATTACAAAATGTTACTACAAGAAACAAAAAGGGAAAACAAAAGAACAAAACAAAACAAAAAAACTCTAATTTCCTGATAGATATATGATATTAATGTAATGGATACCTCAATGTAGTTAAATTGCATTAAATGGTTGTTAATGCTTGAATAAACTTCAAGGAAGTGGATACTGGTTGAAATGGGATAATATTTTGTTCTGCTAAATTATATGTTAATTGGTATTTCCTCTCATGTAAAAGGACCTAAAGGGTTTAATAAAATATATGGTAGAAACAAAAAAAAAAAAGAAACAAAAAGGGGCCTAGAGAAATGAAGGAACAAACCATGCTCATGGATAGGAAAACAATTATACAGTGAAAAAAGATACTGCGAAAATGACAATTCTATCAAAGACAATGTACAAGTTCAATGCAATCCCAATACAGATACCAATTCTATTCTTCAATAAGATAAAAAAGGCAATTTCCAATTTTATCAGAAATGGAAAGAGATCTTGAATAAGCAAAGCACTACTGAAAAATAGAAACAAAGTAGGACGCATCACATTCCCTGACCGCACATCCTGCTACACAGCATGGTCCTGGCACAGCGACAGGTGCATAGATCAATGGCATAGAATTGAGACTCCAGAAATCAGCTCATCCACCTATGATCAAATGATTTTTGGCAAGGAAACAAAATCAATTAAGTGGGGAAATGACAGAACTCTTTAAAAAGTGGTAGTGGTCAAATTGGAAAACCATCTGTAGAAAACTTAAACAAGACTCACACCTCATACCATACGCAAAAACCAACTCAAGGTGGGCAGGAACCTAGGAGTAAAACTAGAGTAAAGACTATAAAATTCATCATAGAAAAGCCAGGTCTACTCTAG